TAAATTAAAGCAAAGCCTGAACAGTTTTAATGCTCAGTATTTTCTCATGCACTTTCATTTATATAGTTATTTCCCTGTCGGTATACAATAGGGATATTTTCATGTATTTCCCATTTAAAGAACTTGTTGCATAGAAATTTCATGTGTCTGTAAGTGATAAAAGATAGACGTGTGTATGAATCTTTTGAGGTTTATAAGATGTGTACTCCTAAAAAAAGATGTATGATATGAAAATTAACTGTATTCTGTAATCTTAATCATTTAACTTTTATTACTAGTAATTAATGATTGCTGTCCACTCTGTCCTTTTTCATTCTGCCACTTCTCATGGGTCTTAAGACTCTGCATAGTGCCCTTAATGGATTTTTACTTTCTAACATGTCTAAGTATGTTTAATAGTTCCACTGTAAAAGCAAATACAGGCAGGATGGAAAGAAAGAAAAACAATTGTGAAGGAAGAGGGGAAAGAGGAAGGAAAGAGAAGGGGGTGCGGGGCAAAACAACGTGTGGACCGTACCCTGAGGCCCCTGCTGTTAGGAATTTTAGAGACTTTCTAATTCCTTTCTCAAAAGCTTCCTTGAAAAACATATTCTCCACATGTTAAGGGAACATGAGAGCAGGCTGGGGTTTAACCGTGCGGAGAGGAGCAGCGAGGTGGGCCTAAGGGTCTGGAGAAGAGCCGGAGGGAGGAGGGGGCCAGGCGTACAGGTCACGAGCCAAAGGCAGGGAAACCTTTCTTCGGCAACTTGCCCTTCCGTTCTGCACCTGAGCTCCAGGTCCGAGGTGTGGGGCCAGCTCAGAGCCGGCAGAGCCTAAGACCACCCTCCCTCCGGCTCAGTTCCACCCCAGAACACCCCGGCCCTGCGAGGTCAGCCTGTGCGGCCGCCCTGGCACCATCAGGTCATTACTAGGTTTGCACAAAACGCCCACATTCCCTGATAATCGGCCTCCGTAGAAGCATGAAGCAACGGCCGGCCGGGGAAGAACCACTTTGCAAACAGACCTCCAAGTTGAATTCGCCTCTTGAAATCCTCTGTGCAAAAGTTCCCATCATAAAACAGCTGCTGCTTAATGTCTCTGAGTTCTGATTGGTCCCAAGCCCCTGATCTGCACAGAACTTCGGGCCAACGGTGTCCAAGCTCCGTGGCTCTTCCCGGCACCCTTCTATCCCCGTTAAGTGGTGCTCTTGGTCAAAACACTAGGTCATAAACGTATCCACTGGGAAGCGTGTACTGCAGTTTCCAGTGGTGCGTGCTGCTCCGAGGTGACACTAATAAAGGAAGCTTGCGAACGTGCTTTACCTACCGGCGTGCGCTTGCCAGTCTGGAACACAACTCCTTACCTTATCCTAGTTTGGCTCTTTCAGGCTCGAACCCACTGAACTCTGACCCTTTTCTGGATGAATACAAATCATTTCCAGAATGACTATCAAATTTTATTTATCCTTCTTATTTCCCCAGCTTCAAGCTAACAGCAAACCAAGAAAACAAGTTCCCATTTGACATGCTTCACCCCAGCCAAAGTTCACAGCATAGTTATGTCCTGCCCCAGAAAGGGTGGGGCAGCGGGCAGGGGCCGGCGGGGGTGGGAAATGGGAACAGGGCAGCTGCTTTGTTTTTTCAATAAACTCCAGCAGAGAGCCTCCCACTCCCCCGCCCCAGCAGAGACGGGCAGGAGGAGGCGGCCTGAGAAGCCTCTTCCTCCGAGGAAAACCAAGCTGGCTCCCTGGCTTCTGAGAGCCCACACATCCGCCCGAGGGCCTCTGATTCACCCCCGGGGGACCAAGACGCAGGCCAAAGGCCTCATCTCTGCCTCACTGGTGTTCACTGCTGACCTGAGGCGGCCCCAGGGGCTGCACCCCCACCCCATCCACCCTCACTGGAATCTGAACGCACACCACCCCGCACCCGCATGTCCCAGCTCTGAGACACACACAGCCGGGTGACAAAGGAGCGAACCCAAAGGTGGGCGTGCGTCACCCACACCTCCCACGGACATGATGGAGGCCCTCCCCACAGAGAGGAGCTGCCACCCCCAGGCCCCCTGCTGGCCAGCTCAGCACGGGGTTTCTCCCGTCTCTGCCGGAGGGAGTTAGGGAGGCAGAAGGCCTGGGAAGGCAGGGTGGAGGCAGCCCACCCGACAGCAGGAGGAAAACCTCTAATTTGTTCGCCTAGAAAACCCTGGGGCGTCGCGGTCCCAGAGAGGCTCCACCCAGGCAGTACCTCTGATCACTTTTTTCCTGTTAGTGGGCAAGCTGAGCAGAGGGGAAATAAGGACAAATGTGTTCAAAACAGAAATCCTGAAGAATGCTAACTTAGCTTTGGGCGAGGGCCAGATGACAGGCCCAACACCTCCATTTCTGTCCAAGTGGAAGGAGAAAGTACAGGGTGCGACCTCGGCCCGGCTGTGTGAGCCCTGCGGCCAGGACTCTGCCAGCCCTCCCGGCATCAGCATGACCCCCGACTGCCTTCCAGCTCCAGCTGTGCCCTGCCTTTTTTTTTTTTCACTCTTCAGTGTTTTTAGTTCTTTTTAGTAAACTGATTCTTTCTAATGCCATGGTAATTATAATCACTGTGGTCTTTTAACTTCAAAACATTTTCTTGGTGTGAAATGATTCAGTATCAGAGAAGACTATACTTGTACATGAACTTTTCTTTTAAGAAGCATCTCAAATCTCCCTCAAATGACTAAACTGTAACCAAAGAATGGTTGTTGATGTCAGTTTGGTTAACTTTGGGAAAAAAACTTCCAGGTTTAGGTGGCATTCACCTAAGACCAATGTCATACATAACATGTTGCCCATCACGGACTTTAAGGTGGTAACTGACACATCGCAGATGGGCACTGACTGAAGTCATAAGATATCTCTGAATGTAGATTCGGTATGACGAAACTCACATTAATTGCCTTATAGGCCCATGTGAATTCTACAATTTTTTTTTAAGAAGCTGGCTTGCATTGAAAGGCATAAAATGCCAAAATGAAATGTTTATACAGTTTTAGCCTAGCAAAAATATGTAACAATTGTTGGTACAAAGACTATTTCTAGAATACATATAGTCTCAAACAGATGTCACACACCCTTATGACAATTTAAATCACACTATTTATAACACACACTCTTTCTTCCAATTACGAGAAAATAAAGTAAAATCTAATGAAGCCAAACCCTAATTCCAAATTAGTACAATCTGAATCAGAAATCTGATTCTTCTCCATTTCTACAGCTATCCAAGCAGAAATGGAAGGTGGAGGCAGGGCAGAATCAAGGAAGAGCTGGAAATGGCCATCAGTTCTGAACTTTAATTTCTTAATCTAAGACCTAATCTAGGCAGAGGGATCCGACAGCTGACTGAGAGTGTGACAGGCAAGGGGACCATCCCAGAAAGAAAGCAAATTAACTTCTTTAGTGTTGAGGGTGGAGCTGAACCAAGCCGTGGGAGAGAGGAAAAGGGGTCTATGCACTCACAGACCCCTCTGTGCACCCCCCACCGCCCGGGGCTGGGCCCAGCGTTGGCTCACCTCCATCACCACCTGTAAGGAATTCTCCAAGCAACCAAGAACACTTATGAACTTATTCTGAACTCTGTTTGCTGTTTCCTACAGAAACCATTGTATTTCAATGAACCCCTAGGCCACCAAGGGACACATGAACCTGAAAAAGGAAAAAGAAAAAAACTTCCAAAAGAGATGAAACTACATGTTTTTTGGTCTTACTACAGAGAGAGCACAGCCTTCATGTGCCCAGTGCCACAGGATTACTGCCCGGCATGTCCAACACCACTTACCTATAGGATGAGATTCATAAAGAAACATGAGTAATAGTTCCAATTCATCCTTTCTAAAATCGACATCGTTCTAACCTTAGGTAGCCAATCAGAAACCTCCATTTAAAGCCAACATTCTTGCTAGTTTAGAATAGTGATTCACTCTGCCTGTCTCGCCACAAACTATTTACAGCATCTACAGTGTCAGCTAAGCAATACCACCTTCTCCCAACATGCAGAGTATCTTAAATACCTAGTACTGAACAGGGAAGGACCTAGGAATTTATATCATAAGTCCAGACAAGATGTGTTCTTCTGTGAAAAACGTACCACTCAAAAATATTTTAGGAAAGCAAGGCAAGCTAAAACACAAGTTGTAGACATACTAAGTGAAATATGATTATTAGAGGGCCATGCCCATATGCTCCATGGCTCAGAGTTACCTAAGAATTTACTATGTTCAAATATAGTTTCCTGTTTGCAAAAAAAAAAAAAAGTACAGCTGCATGTTTGCACCTGGCAGACAGAGCTGCCCCTCCTCCTCGGCCTTCTTGCAAGAACAGACTTGCAAACAGGTATCTAGAAAGGGCCGGCTGATCGCCATCTCTAGGCCTGTCCAGTCAGGGACAGCCATGCGGTTCTTTCAAGAATGGCTAATTGTCTCTAAAGTAAATTTCAGGAGACACAAAACCAACCACGATCAAAGGAGAACAGGCAGAAATGAATGCTGCCTCACCAGATGCTGTATTTACCAAAGTCATCAGATTCAGGCACAACTGTAAGGTTACTCTCTGCCTTGACAATTTTTAAAAAATAACTACACTAGACTGGGTAAGCAGCCAACAGAGAAAACTGTCGAACCACTATGCTGTACACTTGCAGCCAATGTAATATGGTATATAAACTATACTTCCATAAAAAACAACCGCGACAGTGTATCAGATCTCATGTCGCTGCCACTTCAACTCCCCCTGGTCACTCCTGAACTCTGCCTGACCAGAATTAGAACTCGGAAATCTAAATATAGATCTTCCTCTCTCACATGATGGTGAAACACACGCACACACAGGAGCAATCTTCTGTGAAATAAAAATGCTTACACCGAGAAATACCACTGAGATGTGTGATTATAGCCACGAGCATAAGAAAGGATTATTCTTGACTGAAATAGAAAATTAAGGGGCAAAACTCTAGGTAAGCAAAGTACAAGCCAAGCTGGCAGCATTTCCTTACCTGAAGGGCACTCATCGATCATTCCGGCCGTCTTCTGATGACACTTCAACAAACCCACCAGTGAAATGAGACTGCTGCCAGTTCCTGTGCATTTAGAAGAGGGCAGACATGTCACACTGTGCAAAACGTAGCGTCATGTGATAAGCAAGACATTTAATAATCTGAAGCAAGCCAATAAATGCCAGCAAATACTTCAGAATTCAGTGCCTTTGCAACAGAGCCTTCAAGACGTTCCTGAAATATACTTTATGCACTCAACCAATTTTTGTTTCTTCCTAATTTCGATTTGCCAAGGACTCGGCATACACCTAAGATACGTGAGGGACATCGTGCTCAGACATGAGGCTCAGGGGATAAAAGACACATGCAACCGGGGTAAAAAACGCAGCAAAGCGTTTCCCAGGACTTCCTGGGAAGACGGCGACTGCCTCCTGTCAAATCAAAAGCCCTGCCTATGGGGACTCTTATTACAGCTCTTATCAGAACAACGGGAAAAAGCTTCCGGGTTTCACAGGAAAAGATTGACTTCCCAGTTATGACTTGTGAGTGCTCAAGAGAAGGATGACTTACCCCTAGTAAATGTGAAACCCATGGTTTTCCCAGAGGGTTTTTGTCTGCCCTGTGCAGTTTTCTTACATGAAAGAGACAGACCATTAAGATTTAAGCCCAATAATACCCCTAGAAGGTACCACACGCTTCTGTTCAAAGCCTGAGGGCTGAGGCTTTCCACAGTAACAATTCCCAGGTACGTAGGGAAACTCGGCAGCGCGTCTGCAGGCCACAGTCCCCGGTGGGCATCTGCCCAGCGCCAGGATGTGAAGAGGGAATTTCAGCCACCGGAAAAGGCCAACGGCCTCGCTGGGAAATCCAGGGACTCGCCCACGCAGTGCACTGTGGGGTTTGTGGTTTTGGCGAGGTTTCTTTTCTTCCGGTCTTTTTGACATTTTGTCAAGGGGCTTTCTCTTTATCCTAGCGGCTCCTAACCCCTAGCTGTACAGCAGAATCACCTGGAAGATTCGTTTTAACACCCTTTTCATATGCATCTGGAGTTGAGAACCACTGTTCCACCCCCGTCTGATTCAACCTCACTAATTCAGCCTAAACTGCATAATCTAGACTTCCGTTGAGAACTGCCAGGCAGGCCCTCCTCTGTTATCTTCTTACTTTTTTTTTGAAAAGTGCAAGAGGCTCTCAAGGGAACATCAGTACATTTCTGCGGTGTGCCAAGTACATTTCTTTGCTGCTATGTGCACAGTGCCCCTGAGGGCAGGAGGCCTCGCACAACCCCCAGTGTGGGAACTGCAGCCCATTCCCGCCGCCCCGGCCCCCCACCCCACCCCCACGGCCTCCCTGATGCAAGTCACAGACCGGTCCTGGGGGAAGGCAGGGATGGAATTTCTCAGGAGGTTCTGTCCCATTTCCTAGCAATCGGTAACACAGGAAAGAGCCCTCTGCAGTTGGTCACTGTGATACAAATGCTTCTCACAGACGCCTCAGCCTCACCCTAAATAAACAAACACCCCACTAGGCAGAGCAGAGCACATTCCCCGAGCAATTCCAAAGATGTGACTGCACTCGACTGATTGCACTCGACTGTCTTTAATTACAAAAGCTGTTCACAGAAAGCAGCCCTCACACACGTCCACACCCACCCGCACCAGCCACCCGCCCCTTCTTGGACGGTCCTCAGCTCGGGGGCAGGTCCTCGGAGGTGCAGGGTGGGGCCTTAGCGAGAGCTGAGCCGCAGGGAAGCTGTTCCACAGTCGTCCTCGCTAGAAACACAAATCCTCTGCCTCTGGAAAGTCTACTTATTCACAGGCCACAATCAAGAGCTTTGGGGCGGAGGGACAGCGGGGGAATGGCAGTCTTAGATTTGAAAATACAACGATTTTTAATGATCTTTAAAAATAATATAGTTTGCTGCATCTCTCACAAAAGGGAGCATCCCGAGTGAGAAAGGGAAGTGGCCAGTCCCTTCGCCGCAGCGTGCCTGCCTTCCCTGCGTCCCCAGGCCCACCGGCTCCCTGGGCTGGCATGTGTCAGTCCCCACCACAGAGCACTCCTCATGCCACCGACGCTTTTGAGACAACCCGGGCAACCCGCTCCTCCTGCCAGCAGCCAGGTCAGGCATGGGCACGCGGTGCAGCTCCGGCCAGTGAGATGTACGACCAAATTATATAGGCAAAATGACATTCTAAATAAATTTTAAAGATTAAGTCACTGTGTATGTAGCTATGTTAATTCCATCAGTAGTACTGTTTTGCACATAACACAATCTTCATATTTACTTATGATAATGTATGAGGCAGAAAGTCCATAAATGAAGACTCGCGTGCAATAAAAGCTGCTGCTTATTAGACAACTGGTGTGTATCAGGCACTGTGCCAAGAGCTTCGCACGCTTTATTCCATTTAATTCCCTCAATGGAGGAACTACCTCCTTATAGATCAGTACACGAAGCTTCAATAAGTCAGTCAACATGTCGGGGTCAGCAAAGCTGAAGGATGGCTGAGCTAGGATTCAGACAGAAGTCTCACAGACGGCAAAGCCCTTAACTACTGAAACTGTTACAGTATGCATTCTTTTATAAGTGAATAATAGACTAAATTACCAATTCTACCACCAATTTTAAATAAAAAGGAGATAAGGAATCTGAATTCTTTGATTTGTAACCTACAGAAAGCAGTCAGTCTGTCGCAGGGGTGAGCGTGTGGGGCTTGGAATCATGTATCTGACACAAACTGGCCAAGACACAGCACGGAGCCTCTGGGCACCTACAGCCTCATCTGTGAAATGGGAGTGAAGCATGGGCCGCAGGGTCCAGGGGGCTGACCTGAGTGTCACAGGACCTTCCGTGACCTCTGCCTCAGCCTCAGCCCTATTTGTCAACTAGGGACGAGCCTACTCACCTCTACAACTGTACGTCCGGGGAGAGGAAATCCCAGGGCACAATACCTCTAAAAAACGAAATCTGTCAAAGGGAGAAATAAAGTTTAAAACCTGTTTATTGCTTACAAACTGCAGTCCGGGCCCTTCTCTCTTTCCTGCTCCTGCAGAAGCAAAACCGGCCCTCCCCTCAGCTCTCAGGTACAGATAAACCCTCCTTATCCACTGATACGAAGATGAACTTCTATCCACCCCTAAGGAACACCTGTTGATATGCATATGTACTAAACCTAGGTGAGATATTCTGGAAATATTACAATTTTACCCACAATGATCAAAATCCTTAAAGAGGAAAAACTTATAAAATGAAATGCTTTGAAAAGTGATATTGTGGAAGAGCTGTGTTTCTGATCATTAACACTTTCATATTTACTGAGTCCTGAAAGAAAGGAAAAATCACCACTTGAGGGGTCCCTATTTAAGAAAGTCTGAACACTTTTGTTATTTTGTCGAGCAAATCATCTGGACTCATCTGTTTTTTTGGTCTGACTTTTCCGTCTGTCTTGCGTTCATTTTGGTTTTAATTCTTGGGCTTCAACAAGTCATGATTAAGTAGCCATGAAGTGCTCAGGCCTGTAGGGAATTCAAAAAAATTTTAAAAAGGATTCTTACCATGGAGGAAGGTAGACTACGCGGCTGGGTTTTAAGGTAGGCACGCATGAAATGTGTGGATTAATCAGCAGTTCCCCAGGGTTAGGACACATGAAATAGTACGACTATTCACAAGATGCAGAAGGGAGGTCCTTTGTAGTGACAGCATATGCACAACTTTGTGGTGAAAGTCACCTGAATATACAAGAATGATAAACTTCATGGAAATACACACACTCAAAAAAAGCATGTAAAAACTGGCAAAATCCAATTAAGTTTATCCACCCAAGTTAGTATTGTACCAATGTGATTCTCCTGGTTTTGACTATGTACTATGGTTATGCACCGTCCGCATCATCATTACCAAGCTGGGTGAGGGCACAGGGGCACTCTCTACTGTTATTGTGAGTCAAGCTACATCAAAATAAGTTGTACATTTAAGAGAATAAGGGAGTCTCTGATGAACTGATATGGAAAGATGACATCTAAGATGGGTGGTTCAGTGGGAAAAGGTACTGTACAATGTATACAATATGCTATCTTTTGTGTAAAAACAGAAGTACAGAATTTATACTCATTTTCCCACAGAACATGAAGGGACAATGGAAGGAAACTTAAGAACCTCAGAACAGGGGTTTCCTCTGGGGACCGAAAAAAGGAACCTGGTCAATGAGGCACCAAGACAGAAAAGGGAGACGTTTGTATTTTTTGGGTTTTGAACCACACAATTGTATTAGTCAAAAAAATCAATCGAAAACAAAAAAATGACAGTAAAATAAAAGCAGAAACATCAATGTAGAAAACAGTATGTGAGGTTCTTAAGCAAACAATTTACATACATTTTTAATCACCAAAGTGACTGATAATTTTTTACAGAGGGTAAAACCAAGACTCCAGGGTAGTTTTTAAACTTTTTGCCTACACCCATGATCCTTACCCTATAATTAACTCCCTTCCTATGTAAGATTTGCTGAACATTCCGTGCTGTGTCTTACCCCAGCCCCTTCCTGCAGGGCTTTCCTCCACCAGAACCCACCCGCCGCCCCACCCTACTTTGGAGAACCCGACTCAACCTTCAAAACCAAGATCCTGCCCAGTTCTTTCAAACTTTTCTAACAGAATGAATTATTCTCCTGTCTTACTTCTGTATCTCAGATCATGCATACTTTAAAAGTAATTATTATTTAACTGTCTTTAAACCCCCAGCATCTAGCAAAATGCCTGGCAACTCCACCTGCTGCTCAAAGAATGTTCCTTTAGTGATGAAGAACTCTATAAACTTCACCATGAGCTTTAAGAATTAAGACATCTCATTAAAAATACAGATATTCACTTGCTACCATGATTCTTAGATATTTTTAAACTTAAAAGAGATTACAAGTACTTCTGAAAGCCCCAGCATCTTCTATTAAGAGGAATCTCTCAAATATAAATGGACGTAAGTAGATACCCCTCACCACCTTTTAATATTAAGTTTGAGTGACACTGATTCCTAGCACTTCTAGCAAATTCTTTGCAAAATATGAATTCATAGAGAATAACACCTTTAATAAAAAGTATTAAATTCTTTTTAAACATCCCTAAGCCTGGCCTTTTTCAGTTTCCTTTTCTACGAAATGTGTTTTCCTTTAAAAGATGGAAGGAAAAAAGGGCACTGTTCAGACATAACCTTGGTCATATGGGGCTGAGCTTCTCAACTACTTCATAATCACTTAACATGGCAGGAGTCCCCAGACAGACACACGGGACTGATTTTAGAGAGCTCTGTGATTCACCTCAAAGAATTCATCCTCCAGAGCACGTTGCCACATGGCACATTCGTTACATCAGCAGCAGAGTGCGGTCAGTCTGGCACTGCGGTCAAAGACATGTGGCCTGAAGTCAGATGCCCGAGTTCAAATCTCAGTTCTGAGAATTCCTGTGTCCTCAAATTGACTTCTGTTTCATTTTCCTCCTTCGTAAAGTGAAATTATGCTGGCATCAAACACACTGAGATGCTGGGAAAATTAAATAAGTTATGCAATACATGAAGAGCTTAGAACAGTGTCTAATATATGCCAAGGACTGAGTAAACCTTAACCAGTAACATGACTCTGACCTACAGTACATGCTCAATAAACATCAAGCTCTACAAACAGGAGTTTTCTCCACCGAGCTGCACATAAGGTATCTGAAAGAATGATGACCTCGGGGTTGTTACGGAGAACAGATGAAACACTGACAACACCCAGAATGTGAGGCAGGATGCGGACCTCCTGGCGGTGC